TTATTAATCATGTGAGCCACCACTATGTTCACCATCTGTCTTCTTGTGTCATCACTTGGGTTTCTGTTGTTTTATACTCCTGCAGAACTTCTTCACCACCAGACTTGCTTTGAAGGACAGCTTCAACCTGCTATGAAATGAACAGAAAGGAAATGTATGGCGATATTCAGATTACCCAGATATGTCACAACAGGGTGACAGAGTTAAGAGGTGCAGAAAACATATTACCATTTTGCCAGACACTGCCACTGTCAAAGTTGATGCATTTGAGCTGAAGCTTGGATCAGACTTTGAAGCACATCATCCAGAGACCATTCAGAGAACTGTGGAGACAAAAAGCAATAAACTCCTTTAGTAAAATCTGTATGATGCTTGATTTAATTTGCTTTTATATCGCAAGCTTAGGGACAATAAACCTTCTCTAAAACATTGCCTGCTTTACTGGGGTCACTGAATATTTCTTCATCGCCAGTATCTGTGCCATCCTTGTATGTAACTTTGGCATCAGGTGGCAGGCAAACTATTTCAATGCCTGGAAGAGTAAGAATGCAAACTTTAGATTCTAATACTCTAATCACCAAGTGTGTCATTACCTTTTTTGGGTTGTTGAACATATGTCATAATCACCACAGATTTGTTAAAAATGGGTTGACTACTAAGTATTTAATTTCCCTAAATCCTTTTTTCCCCTAATTTACCCTGCACACAGTTTTATTAAATTAAATTGTATTTATATAACGCCACATTACAACAACAACAGTTATCTCACAGCTTTGCTTTAGACAGTAAACAACCTTTCTGATGCAATTGATGAAAGTAAAAATGCCCTTCAACCTCATCCAACTTCACATACTTGTTCACAGTACAACAATAACCCTTAACTGCAGGAATGAGTCCTACTGTTCTGCTCCACATAAGTCACACTTCACAGTTCCATAGGGTTGGTGTATGTATGTGTGTGGGGGAAGATGTGTGAAGATGAGTTAAGGGGTTTGGGGTTGGAATGGGACCTACCACACCGCAGAGTGCAGGAGCAGAGGGACAGGTCCAGTGATCCGGAAGAGGAAGTTCATGAAGGACGGCTCGCCATCAATTTCCATCCGCAGATCCGATCCAGACAATGGGAGAAAAACACAAGCACACCAAAAAAACCTGACCTGTGAACAGACAGGGTCAGAAAAAAAGTCACAGCTTAAGTCTCATGCAATGATATACACTACATGACATTCACAAAGATAAACATACTGTGTGTGTGTTTGCTTACTGTTCCTCACTCTCAAGTAAGCATATAAACAGAAATAAAAATAAAAATACACCTTCATATTCACTAAGTGCACATGAATGATTTAAGGTGCATCGAAAGCTAAATTATTGAGTTGAAAATGAACATTCTCACCGATTTTACCAGAGAGGCTGGACACACACAGACACAAAATGGCGACACCGCGAAGTCTTCAAAATGGCGCCGCCCGGTGAAGCGCGAGGTGATCAAAATGGCCTCCAAAATGGCGACGCCTGGTAAAGCCCAACGGTCTTCTAAAGCCAAAACATAAGGGACCCAATGTAACTTAAAAGACTTTCCCCTCAATGCAAAATAAATTAGCTTTCACAGTAATATGATAGAGAATAAACAAATGCCGTTTTTCATTAATTACCTGACTCTTGAACCAGCAAAGACTGCACTACGCGGGGAAATCCTACGGACATCAAAGCTAAATATATAAACACAGAATTTACAACTCAATTCTTACAACAGTTACCTACCACGGTTGTAGAGTTGAAGTTAGCCTCAGTGTAGTCCGTTGCTAGCTGTATTTTCTCCAGGTTGTCTCCGTTTTTTACTGTTTTTAGCCTCTACAGCAGCGTAGCTCTTCTCTGTCTCTCCAGAAGCGGGACATACTAACTTTTGCGCGCTCACAGTGACGTGGGAGCAGGTGGGCGGGCCTACCTGCTGTCA